ATGATACACGTTCAGTACACATCAGATGACTTCACGTGCTATGATTTGCATACCACACTTACCCCTTAGGTTGGTCTTTATTATCAAGTGAAGTGTCGTGTAGTAGATTCCCACCGGCTATAGAGAAACTCACTATAAGTTGGACAAATGTGTTGATTGTAACATCGAAATATAATTAAACCTTCGTCCTTCAATTTTCAAGTGGTGATGGGCTTCATTGTACCAAACGGACACGGAATGAATGGAAACATGGCTTCATTGTACCAAACGGACACGGAATGAATAGAAACATCTCCCGTACGTTTGAAACGACTAGATGCTGTTTTAAGTCAGGAGGTATCGATTTCACTCCGAAACTGGCACAACGGTGTTTGAGACATGATACACGTCCGGTACGCATTGGACGACTACACGTGCTATGAATTGCATACCACACTTGCCCTTTTGGTTGGTCTTTATTATCAAGTGAAGTGTCATGTAGTAGGTTTCCACCGACTATAGAGAAACTCATTATAGGTTGGATAAATGTGCCAATTGTAACGTTGAAATGTAATTGAACCTTCGTCCTTCAATTTTCAAGTGGTGATGGGCTTCATTGTACCAAACGGACACGGAATGAGTAGAAACGTCGCACATACGTTTGAAACGATCAGATGCCATTTTGGGCTAAACAAATAGTGCTCTGCTATCATTTTTATTAGAAATTGACTTACAAATCTATCAAAATGGATAAAAATATCATCACAAAGTAAAGATTAAATTAACAATTAACATCCATCCATCCGTAACAAACGTGAATGAACAAAAATGAATACGAAAATAGTAGACATAGCACCCATACATTTAAAACAACCAGATGCCATTTTGGTCTGAACAAGCAGTGTTGTTGTCATTTTTACCAGAAACTAACTTACAAATCAATCAGAATTTATCAAAAAATATTACAAATTAAAAATTAAATTAACAATTAACATCCATTCATCCATAACAAATGTGAATGAACACGAAATTAGTAGAAATAGCATCCATACATTTAAAACGACCAAATGTCGTTTTGGTCTAAACAAACAGTGATGCTATTATATTTATCAAAAATCTGTCTGAAGTAGCTATCATACTTTGTCAGATGACCATCACAATATATCAAAAATTATCATAATCTATCATAATTTCAAGATTAAGTTAAACAAAAAACATTCTATGCATCTGTCAACTAGTGTAGAGCATTTTTGCAAGTCAGACGATTATGGTCCCTCTGGCCACACCTACTACATTTACGAGTTTTTTTTTCCTTCTCTTCTTGATGGAATTCAATAGCTTTTTAGACGTCCACTTTGTCATTGATTCAAAAGGGGTGATAACATCTTTGTTTAATTAGAGATTTCCCAGTCAGCCTAAATTGCCACTGGATAAATACATTCAGCATATGCTTGTTTCCAACTAGCATTGGTATAATAAGATGAGCACAAACTGTAACAAGACATTCCGTTAAATTTCGCTGCTGCAAGTGCATGTTTGCAAAGAAGCTTTTCCAATTCAAATTCTCTACAACTCAAGTTCTTGCCTCCAAGTTAACGATATGTATTTCATTTTCAACACCGATGTATTGGTACCATTATCAGTCACTTTGCATCATCATACTTTTTATGCATTTTATCCTCATTGAGGGGGTTTAGAGTAGTTGCACATTTTTTCAGCTTCAATGTATTTCTCATAAAACCATTTCTATAAAGTTTTTATTATTTGCTCAACCATAACAAGTACTGGAAACTCTCGAGCATTCTTGAATAACGAGTTCAAAGATTCTGCATTGTAAGTTGTCAAAATATTGTAACGGATTCCTTTAAAATATGCTCGGGACTAAAATTCATACCCAACTTTCTTTTCCAGGTATTCTCCAACTGCTGAACTTTTACGATATAGATTTGCCATTGATTTTTCAAAATTAATCAAACTATACTCCTTTAAAATTGCCATAAACAATGGCAAAATATCGGTCTTATGATAATTGGACTTTATGTTTAGTTGTAGATGCCACATACAACATCCATGATGTGCATAAAGATAAACAATCTTTATAGCGTTACCAATGCTATCCTTGCGATCAGAAATGAAAACAAGCCCTTCCAGCATACCCGTTATCTGAAACAACTTATCGATGAACTAAGTCCATGATGCATCTTTTTTCTAAATCAACAATGTCAAATGCAAGAGGATATATCTGAAGATTTGCATCTTAACACGTGGCAACAAGTAATGTACCTCGAAATTTGGATTTCATAAATGTTCTGTCCACAGAAATGACATAACTCATTGATGAGTGAAAACCACGTATCTTGGTCCTAAAGATATGAAAAAGTATTTGAACCGGTTCTCATTATCAACTTCAATGAACGTCACTATATCGGGATTATTCTTTTTTAGAATATTGCAATACTTGGGCCAATCTATCATAACTAAAATCTGCTGAACCTCTTAATAGCTCTATAGCAAATTCTCTAGCCATCCATGCCTTATAATAATTTATTTCTATGCCAAACTCCCAACGAATATCATTTTGGATGTTCGAAGGTCTGTATATAATGGTGAGATCCTAAAACTTTGACATGTGTTTTCCAATCATTCAACAACTAGCTTGTCTATAATCTTTGTGGCGAAGATCCTATGAACAATTATGATAACATGAATACATTTGAATTTCAAATTCGTCACTTTCCTTCAATCGTGTTGTTTGCACACCCCATTTGCAAATTTCCTCAATACAAACTACTACATATGTACTCTTATTTGACTTAGTGACCTTAAATTCAAAAGAGTTTCTTGCAACAAGCATCTGTAGTAATTCCTGAAGATCCTTCTTGTTACGAAAAATTTGGCTAACATACATATCATCGACGTCAGGAATCTTAACTGGTGTTCTACAAGGATTCAGATAGGTAACAACTTGTGAAATGCCAATGATCTCATCTATCAATGTAAAAGGTGTATTATGAGTAACATTGATTTCATTTATCACATGAGAATCATCTACATAGTTGCCATGCACTACTTCTACCCCATCCCAACAATCATCACTTGTAAAGTTCACACAATTTTTTTTCACAAATTTGATTACATAGAGACAACGGTCGCATATAATTGTCATCAGATTGATTTTTTTTGCATATTCAATTCATCCATGTCCATCGCATTGTCCACAACAATATTTGAATTGTATTTATGATTCTCCTGAACATTTACAATATCAACCTCCATGTCTTGTAGATTAACATAACCCTTTTTTACAAGGGTTACACAAATTGGAACTTTGTCATGTAAAGAAAGAAACCAACTAATATCTATATCACAAGTAATCTTCATTGACAGAATTGATAATTTTGTCATGCCGGGAACAAGAAATTTCATCTCGATGTCATACATATTTGGATCAACCTTAACTACTTTTTGGCTTTCGTCATACAACTCCGCATATAAGATTGTTTTTTATACAAAAATATTCGTTGCGGTGTCTTCATCATTTCCCATCCATTTCCAAATTCATCCACCTTCATCACTCTTTTTCAAATTTAACAAAATAACAAATAACAATCATTGCACTAGAGTCCATATATGCAATTTAACAAAAAAATATATAATATATTACTTCATTAATTGTCAAAACTGAATACTATGAATCACACCTTGAATAACAAACAAAAAGGCAACCCATATTGTTACATAACAGATTTAAGCAGAACAAAACGGTATTCTGTAGTTTAAAATGTGTATGTGTCGTTTAAATATTTTTATGACAATAAAATGCTATAAAAGAATGGAGAAACAACTAATTTGCGAATAAGTATATCAATACCACAACTGTCGTATTAAAACAGCAGCCAGCTGAGAAAAAAGACACCCAACTACTGTGAAACAGCACCATTTTGTTTTAATATTTTACAGTAAATTTTGATTACCTAATTGATTTTTATCATAGATACAACTAGAAAATACGACAAATCGTTAATTTTCAATTTATAAAACTCACCTTAAACTATGTGAAATTGATTCTTGCTAACCCACCTCCAAAATTTGCACTATTTGATTTGTTCTTGATTCAAATAAAGAAACTTCAACATATAATCATTTATTGTAAGCAAGAATGAAGCATATGAAGAAAAATAAAGTTAAATTTGAAGGTGAGTTTAATATGGTGAAAATGGGGTTGTTGGAAATGAGAGAAATGAATGAGATTTAGGGATTTATATTTGGGGATTTGGGTAATATTGATCTCCAAATTAGATATTTTAATCATTTCAATTTAAGGTATTCAAGACTTTTAATATATAATCAAATAGACTATAGACTATTTTAACAAAAAGTATTGATAGAGGCTATTTTACCAAATATTATGGTTGACTAGGCTTCTTAAACAAATCCCCCTTTTATCAATCCCGGTTTAACCTCAATTTGACCGTTTGACCATTGACCCTTTTAACTTTTTCGAGTATATGATTGAGTTAGTTTTCAAAACATTGGTGTAAATAGTTATTCAAGGGAGAGTGTTGTAAATGTAATAATATTTATTAATAACTTTCATACTGTTGCAACTCTAGTTATTATGACTATTGTATCTATAGTTCTTTTCTATAAATAGGAATTTTGATTCTTAATAAAACATACAAATTTATTGACTTATTGCTTTTGTTCTTTTATTTTCTTCACTAATTTATAACTTCAATTTAGTACTTGTTTAGTAGGGATTTTGATAATTGATTTTTCGACTGTTAGAAATAAAGTGGGTCCTTCTTGTAAGAGAAGAATTTAAAAAAGACAACTGAATTAGTAAAATGACGGTAAAAAAATTTAATTTTAATTAGCTTAAAATCCAAATCAAACAAGTTAATTTTAAATCTCCAGCATGTCCAAAAAGTTAGGAGGGAAACCAAGTGGCTAAAATAGAATTTTTGAAAGGGTCATGGACAAAACAATTTTATTTTCCTAAGACAGTCTTGTAGACCACGCCGAGATATGACCGCACACACACACACACACACACACACACGGAATCCCCTCCTCTGCAACCTCTCGACTGCCCCCCTATAGAACCCTCGGCCGTGAACAACAGCACCACCGCCTATACAATGCCGGAAATTCCTCCTGACCCATCAAGCTCGCGTTTGATCAACGGCTCAAAATCCGAAAGGAAAAATGAAAAGAAAAAGAAAACCCCAGTTACAGAACCCTCATCACCACCATCATCAGTATCATCATCAAATAATTGTTCTTGTTCAAGTTCGAAGATAAAGGGTCTCAAGATTTTGAAGAATTCTAAAAAAATTCGAGTTGGGTCAACCACGAACCGGAGAAGTACGAATTTCAGAAATGTTAATGTCGATACCCTTGCTCTTCCTCTGGGAATGTCAATTGCTGCTGTTGTTTCCCAGGTACTTATCCTTTCATCTATATTTGTTTGTGCTTATTAAAAAAAAAAAGGATAGATTTTTGCAATGATTGAAGTGATAAATATTGTTCTCATTCTTGATATTATGGAAAGTCATTTTTTTTAATAAATATATGGGTTCAAGATTCTGGGCTTTTATGGAGAAGTTTGAATCTTTAATGGGATATCTGTCTTTTTAGTGTGAGAAATGCGATTGGAAATTTTCTAGGAAGATTTCAGTGTAGAGTTTTGAGTTATTGTGCACATGGAAATCTTCTGTTTTTAGGAAATTTGTTAAACCATTTTATCTGTATGTTTAAATGTGTCTCATGAATCATGATATGTATAGGTATTTGGTTTGATGAAAAATTATTGAATTCTTATGGGAAAGATTGAATTTTGTTGTAGAAAATATGTTTCTGGATATGTTAAGATATGTTGACCACAGCCTGTGCAAAGAGTTAGTGAAGTAATTATTTTTTCACCTTCAGTATGTGCAGCATTATTTAAATTCTTGCACTTAAAAATCCGTTCTTACACCTGGTTACCTCAAAAAAAAATGTGTTCTTACAAGAAGGTTATCAATGTGTTAGTACAATGTTTTTCTAGGGTCGGTGATAATGTTTTCCCAAAAGCAAATGAAGAATGCCAGTATTGAGCGTGTTTATTATGGAGATTTAAATATGAAATTACTATGTTGTTTTGAAGAGCCTATTTGGTCACACTCTATAATTAATATTCTTGGTAGATGACGAATTCTTAATTTGTTAAGAGATTAACTTAAATTTTAAGGACTTTCGTTGCTCATATATATATATAAATATATATATATGTACATATATATATGTATATGTATATGTATATGTGAGTGTGTTCTCATTTTGAACCCTGAAAGATAGTTCAGTGATCAGGCCTGAGTTTGCTCCCCAATAGTCATCAATTCGAGTCATCGGCAGTAAACTTCAGGGTCCGTGTGATTAGTCGAGGTGCGCGTAAGCTGGCTCGGATACCCATGGTCATTAAAAAAAAAAAAGAAAGAAAAAGTGTTCTCATTTTGAGTGAATAAAATTGTGTTTGTTAAGCCTGTTCTCATATCATCTTTCGTATAAATTTTCTGAAGTGAACAAGAAAAGCATAATTTCTGGATGCATTTTCCTCTAACAAAGAAGTGAATGAGAAAGGCATGATTTCTTCAGGCATCTTCCTCTTAACATAGAAGTAAACAAGAAGGAACTAGATACTTGCCTTTTTATGAAAGAACAAAAAGGAAATTTCTATTTGTTTTATGAACTTCTGTAAGAACAAAAAGGAAAGAAAAAATTATATATTCTCACAGATGGCTACCAACCTCCATGGATTTTGTCATATTCTATTTGTTTATTAACTTAGTAAGATGATAAGGTAAGAAAAAATTATATCCGTTTTTTAATAGTAGGGTGATTTTGCCTTTATTTTAGGTTTTGGACAAGAAAAATGCATCTGGAGAGAAGATATCTGTGGATTATCTGACTGAGGTATTTTCTAGATCCTTCTTTTTTTATGCACATTTGTTTCATTTTTTCCTCTTTGATCCATGTCTCCATTGATTTCCATGAAACTATTTATTCATCACGAAAGGGTTGCATGTTTAGCTGAAGTTTAGTGCATGCTTACTGCCTACTTATTGAGCTCCAAGACTAGGAGCATGTTCGGCCAATCATAAAAAGTAGGAAGTATTTTTTAAATAAGGAATAAAATGCTCTAGATGGTTGAGTCCATCCAGCTGCAAACATTCTGAGCGAGAATTAGATCCAGGTGTTTGTTCATTTGGATTGATATTACACTTCAATGATAATCAAAAGATTGGCCCACAACTTTTTAAATTTCCTCAACATACTTGTCTTTTGGTCTTACCTGTTCCACATAGTCGATTTTTTTTAATTATTTAATTTGGCACTTGCAGATTTGCACATTGGCTGTCAGAGAGTCTCTAGCAAATGTAAGCCTTATCTGAAACTTCATGTTAATTCCTGTCGTAATCTCATGTGCTTTCTTGTATATCTCTTATCAGCTTGACAAATCTAGAATTTTTGTGTTCTTCCTGTTTGATTTCTTGTTTTAAGACAGGTTTTTGGTGATAAATTTGATGGTTTTGTGAGGAATTTTGAAACCTCATTCCGAAGCACCTTCATGACTCTAAGATTAATCTACGGATCCTCCCAAAGTGTCAGAGGCGATGGACAATGGACACGGTTATCTAACAGTAACAAACTACAAGATCCCGTATGCATCTCTGATACTATAGATGGGTTGGAATCAATTCCACATACTACCAATAGCGATGAACAAATACGCACTCATGAGCATACAGAAGAGGATAGGCCATTGGATTTGATAAATCAGCAACTTGTTCTGCATGATGGACGTACTAGTCAACAGTTGGCTTGTTCTTTGAGCACCGCATCTCATTCTGAAGTAAACCAATCGATGTTCAGCACGTTCGAAAAATCAGTAATAGAGCAAACTCGTTCTAATGACCTGAAGGCATTTGAGATTAGTCTTGCTATGAAAAAGCTGCAACTTAAAGAAGCCCAACTGGCTGTGCATTCGGATGCAAATTTCTTGGAAAGATGTAAAATATCTATGGGTTTTTCTAAGGCTTCCTTTAAGGAGGAAAAATTCAAAACTCAGTTACTCGATACAAGACAAATGGAGTTGCTTAAAAAATGCTTAGACTTTCTAGTTGCAGGTTTGATCACCATGTTGTTATCCCTTGGGTATGGAGCTTATGTTTATTCTCATAGAAGAATAACAGAAGCAACAGAATCGTGCTCACCTTTTAAGGTACTGGTTATTTTATTCAAATTTTTGACGTGCTCGTGTTTGTTACCACAAAATTTTTCAACATTTTCTTATGCCTACGATGCACTTTAGGATTTGGATTAGATTAACCATTTGGAAAGGGAAAAGAAATTGACTTTTTACATTTTTTTTAACTTTTTCGATATATAAATCAATTTTGAAGGATATTAAAATTGATTTGCTGCATTTGCTTTAGCGGAACCAAAATTGGTAGATGTTAATTAATGGGTTATAAATTCTGTTAGTCACTTAACTTTCTTGTTAGTGACCAATTCTTTTGTTGTTCCACAGTGATCACTGATTTTGCATTTTGTCTCGTATTAGTCACTCAGTTAAAATCCGTCAATTTTTCTAATGGATTTTTTGACATGAAAGACAACAATGTGATGTAGCATTATTATGGAGATCTTCCACACCAGGCATTCTGTTAGAAAAACTAATGGATTTTGACCAAGCGACCTACTTGAAGCAAAAAAGCAAACTATTGGACAAAATAAAGTTCGGCGACTAGCATGAAACTTAGCCACTAGTGGAGTGTAACAATTTTTTTACCCGTAGTGTGTGCGTTTGTGCTTCTGACTTCACAGTTCACATATTCATGTGGCTCTCAGCTTTGGTTTTGATACTCAGAATGCTATTTTTGTTTTTCTTCAAGGAAACCAAGTCTTGGTGGATGCCGAAATCAATGGGAACTTTCAGCTCGGGTCTACAATTATTAAGGTGTCAAGTTCAAGTTTTAAGTCGCATGTTGTTTGCCGGACTATTGATCGGAGCAATTGCCTTCTTACTTATTCAGAGATCTGCTGTAACAAATCAGACTATGCCAATTACTTTCATAATGTTGCTATTAGGAGTTGGATGTGGGTATGCAGGAAAATTTTGCATTGATACATTGGGAGGCAGTGGAAATCATTGGTTAATGTACTGGGAAATTTTATGCTTGCTGCATTTCCTATCCAATATTTGGACTTCAACTTTGTTTCTTATTCTCTATGGGTCCATCAAAGTCTCAGACAAGGTGAATGACAGTAAGATATTTCCATATTGGATAAGGAGGTTTATGTTCTTCGCTACTCTGCTGCTTCTCCCATTGTTGTGCGGTTTTTTGCCTTTCGCGAGCCCTGGTGAATGGATCAATCATTTTTCATCATGGGCTGTACGTTTTGTGTCAGATGAAGATTGATTCTAGGACTGATTAGATAGCACCGGATATACAACCGAGTTCATTATATTGTCTAGTCTTGTTGAGTAGTGCTTACTGAATGTTCACGAAGTGTACAGATTTCCCCTGATTGGCCTCAAGTCCAAGCAAGAGCACAAACCTGTTGTCTGATGTATATGGGGCGTGCCAACATCATAGATTATTATATGTTTTCGAGGACATATACCACAGAGAAGAGTGCTGGCAAGGATGTAATTTTATTGTCCTAGGCTCGTTTCATTTCAACTCTTGTTATGTACCATAGTTTATTATTACGGTCTATTTCTCTGTTATTTATCTCAACACAAGGAGTCCTGGGTTTTCCCGTCTCATCTTGTCGAATGATATTATCTCTCGGGTTATTGTAGAGTGTCTTCATTGCTGTGATAATTGAAATGTATTTATTGATCTAGTGAAGAGTTTATATTCAAAACTTGTATTGCCCCTCTTGATTCAACTGAGGTTTTGAAATGCAGCCTCTCTTCACAATTCTGCACAGAAAAGCACGAACCCCATCTGTGGAAACCGTGATCTTTGCTTGGTTTGAAAATCATAATGCCATTACCAGAAGCACCAGGGAACTAACAAAGTACAAATAGATTTTTACAATATGTATATAGAGCCTGTTTGAGAGTGATTTTGAGAATTGATTTTTTGACTGTTAGGAGAAAAGTGAGATCCACCTGTAAAAGAAAAAGTCAAATATGATAGTTGAAATAGTGAAATAACGGTCAAAAAATCAAATTTTTAAAGGAAAAAAATCACTCCCAAACAGCTTGATAAAATGGTCATTGAGATATGAAGAAATGATGAAACCAATTATTTCCCAGGAAGTTCAGGTATACATTCATTTTTCGATGATTTCAATCTTTCTAAAATACGAAGGAAATAAGAACTAGCATAGAAAATTAATAATGTTCAAAAATTATGACCAAAATTTAGAGCCAAGGACATTCATTGTGTTTNAAGGAAATAAGAACTAGCATAGAAAATTAATAATGTTCAAAAATTATGACCAAAATTTAGAGCCAAGGACATTCATTGTGTTTCCTTCTAATACAATAATAAAAGGAATGAAAAAGTAATTAAAGTTCTCATTTTCCCCTCCACTAATCTAAACTTCTTTTAAGCTTACATTTTAAACAGGGTAAGAAATTTCATACTGCAACTTTGTTTCTTTCGGAAGATCCGATTTACCACAGCAAGTGGTCCGGGGTAAAAGTTTCTCTCCATACAAAAAACTGTCCTTCACAAGTCATTCACAGAACTTTGTGAGCCTTCACGTAGTATCTGTTGATGAATGGAGCCTGCAAAGGAAGTTGTGGATTGAGGTTAGATTTTAGTTTAAACAGTATCATTTACAGTAATATAATATGAAACACACCAGAGGAATTGTATTTGAAAATAATAGACTAACAACGATGAGCCCTAATTTAGAATCTGATGACTCGGGCAACAAGGTTAGTAGTTAAAATAAAAGCACGGAGAACCAAACATTGGGCAATAAAAAAATTTACAGGCTATAGCGTACAAAGAAACTAGCCAAAATTGCACTGTAGAGGCAATCAAGAAAGCTGCTCAAGTGAAAATACATGCTGAAAAGTGGAGAGGGCACAGGTTTGTCTCTACACCGAATGTGACTTGAATTTAACAAGGGAGATGAACAAGTTTTCTGGTGCTTATTTTAGAACAATGGAGAAAAATGACACCCAAATAGCACATATATTGGATTCTTCGCTATTGTTAGACTCATCTTGGTCACATTTTTACCATGACATTTCTAGGATGCACCTTAAAGTATGTAGATAACCCATGATATTAATAAATGTATAGTGGTAAGAACAGATCTAAGTGACGAGATCACAAGTTAAATCACGCGATCTTCAATACCAAAAGGTGTAAACGCCCAATAAGTATCGTCCGACTTCACCATGCCCATATATTTTCTAGAATTTGAAATTCCAACCGAAGTACTATAAGCAAAACTGCAAAAGTGGTTTTCTCGGTAAAACCACTTGCAGACTCCTTGCATTTGATGCACACGGAGTATTTAGGTGGAGAGAGAAATGAACCGAATGACATCATGAAGCCAGGAATCATTTCGGGCTAAATGTCACCACTTTTTCTCTTCTGTAACAGATATGAGCAGATATTTACCTTGACACTGGAGATATCGGGAGTATCAGGTGCGGACACAGGATAGAATTTGTAGAACTTCATATTCTCAAATGCAGCCTTCACTTCCGCGCTCATTTCTTCCCAGGCCTTTCTACGAGCTTCCCTTGCCTATAATAAATAAAAAGGGAAAGCAACATTCAACACGAGGAGACGCAAATTATCAACAAGAATAGGCTGCACTGAGCTCTTCAACAACGTACCTTGCGGTTTAGCCTTTTTTTTGCTTCTTGGACTTTCTCTTTCACAAAATCCTGAAGGAAAACACAGATATACAATTCATCAGTTCAACTACAGGGATTTATAACATTGAGACAGGAGCTACATGCACCACACAATGAATGTTTACCTTGAAAGCATCTTTTTGACCTGCAGACAACTCTTCTTCCTCAGTAAGCTTATCTATGAACTAAACATATTTTGATTTGATCAGGTCAGACAATATTCCACTCACACCAATCAACATGAAGAAAAGCTTCAATATGCTGATTGTGATGATACCAATGAAAATCAGAACTTGTAATAGCGTACCTCAAGTAAATCGAGTTCCCAATCAAACTCGCAGAAAACCTAGAGAGCAGAGTTGACACTGAGTTAGCTTGTTGCTGAAGTTTATACACGACACTGATTCAGCATGTGTTGGTGTGATATATATTGTAGAAGTCCCCCTAATCACCTAGGCAAGGACTAAGATTTCTATATATGCAAGTAGCACATAAAAATTAGTATGGTATAACCATGTAGATGAGCCTGTGAATTAGTATTAGAAAAAGAATCTTACTGGCTTGGGATCTATAGGAAATAAGATCTGAACCACTGTACTCTGTTCGAGTTCGTCTTCCTGGAGAGGCTGGTAGAAGTCTGCCAAAAAATTAGGAATCGTCAGAGACATTCTAGCCAGTACACACAAAAGGATCATATGTTACTGTCATATATATATTCTTCTAAGCGAAACCCAAAAGAACATTGATAATTTAAGAATTGGTTAAATGCCCATTCAACACCACCAGAATAACAGAGTAACATAACCTAGATGGCACCCAAATAATTGTTGCTGGCATGTAGGATATGCACTCCAATATTGATTTACTGGAAAAAAAAATGTTAACATTTGATACTGAATGCTTTGGACTTTAAGGATGTATTGATGCTATAGTTGAATTATGAAACAATCATTTGTTTCCAACGTTAATTCTGCGTAAGTATTAGAATTTCTTAATCCTGCATGCTTTCATAATCTACTGCGTTGGGTCTATGTCATACACTTGCTCATGCCTTGAAAAGAGATGGGACTAAGAGACAAGTATAACCAAGACATCACACAAATCTGCAATATAGACAACACACTTCATTCCAAAGGAATTTTGTCCCTTTTTGGTAGGAATGGAAATCCAAATTCTAATCTAAGTCAAAGTCAACAATTAATTTTAATTACACATTTCATAAGACCCACGACTTTTAAAACATACATTCATCAACTTTTATCAAAATCTACTAAAAATCTAATTTTATTTCCCACCAAATAGGGGCCTAGTGAGATTGTAAATTATAACCAGAGAAATTCTTGAAGTATGTCTAGGTCAGTCAGAAAAGATTAATGGAAATTGGAGTAGAAAACAAAATAAGATGGCTTCTGTCCAATGAAAATTAAAACTTTGGCTAAGCACTTCAAAGTTAAATAAAATGTCAAAGCTTGGGGAGAACTACTGTTAATCTAAATGTTACAGGTGCTTATGGAAGTTTCAGAGAAATTTAAAAGGTTTTTGAGCATATTTACTGCATGAATAGGATTTCTAAAGGACATTTGTAAATTTGTAAGAAAACAAGACAGAAGAAGCAATATGTGCCAAGGGTTGGAAGGAATTATATTGTGAGGAAAGAACTAGTCCTCTTGTTCTAGATACAATCAAGGTTTTTGCTAGATAAAGAAATGGAAAGGTATCTGAAAGAATCTAGAAGAAAGAGAATATAGTAGAGAAACAGATTCTACTCGATTGAGCTGGGATTTACGTCATTCCATGAATTCCTGAAAGACAGCAGAGAGTACCTCTGATGGCTCTCCAAGGGACAGCACCAATTACTATATTTGCATCAACTTTTCCCTGGATGCAAATGTCAATTTCCTCAACACTCGCAACTTCCTTGAAAAATAGAACTAAGATATAAGCAGAAAAGGGAAAGTACGTCACTCACAAGGTAAGCAGTACTCGAACTTCTTCACGCGGTCCAACTTCAAATGTTTTAAACCAGCCATGTGACAAAAGAACATTAGGAATTAAACATGAACTTCCACTGATGCCCTTTCTTTTTCTCATATACGCATCAAGAACATGGTAAAAAGTTACTGTAAATAAAGGAAGCCAATCTGACTTTTATGATAGAACCAATTCTCAGATATAAATTCCAGATGTGCAACAAATAAGGAAGCAAAAACCACAAAAGATTTATAATGGTCATGATAAATAAGAAAGTCTTTACTGTAATGTCAAACACAGTTAATGAATGCAACCAAGTAGAAAATTCAAATAAATCATAGTACTAACGTAGGTTAGACCATGTTGACAAGTAATCTCCATTCCCTAGCACAGAGCAAATAGTCCAAAAGACTTTCAAGGAGGAAGGAAACAAGAAGAGGATGCAAGAAATAGAATTGTACCTTCTCTGGGTGCAACTCAAAATAAAAATTTGGGATTTTAGTCTTTCTACTTGAGAATCCCTGTAAGCAGTGAAATTGAAGAACTGTCATCCACATGAGGAAGGAAAGGCAGAGCATAATAAAACCAAGATTTAATACCTATTTTCTAATGGGATGTATGGAACCCAGTCCATTTTCATCTGTTTCACGGCAAAATTTCTTCCGTCTCCCTCTGTACTGATTTAATGCCAATTTTGTCTGAAGGAGGAAAAGGTGACACCACCTGTTCAAAAAGAAGATATACCTAAAATATTGGCAACAAAATTACATTGAATGATCATGCAGAACACAGAGATTAAACACACATTTCATATCATAGAGATACTCTGAAAACAGATTCCACTTGATAAAGGACAAAGCAGCATGAAACCATCAGTCAAAACACAAGCCCAAAGGCCAAAACCAGTAGAAAACAACAACCG